CGCTAATATTTCAATAACTACAAACTGTAAGAACTTGGAAGTTACAATTAATTGGGCTCTAGATATGCAATAAGGAGCGTTTTTATGAAATTCCACTAGGGCTCTGTCCCAGTGATCTTTAAAGTTCCCATGCTGTATGAAAAAGATTCGTTTACATTAGAAAAAGCGTCCACATTTATATCACTATTTAAGAACTGTTTTGGTTTAACGTATAGTGGTTTAAATTACCTTGTTCTGTCCAAAACGATCCTATCTGGATCGTAGTGACTACAACTGTTTCGTGCTACAGGAGCACATCTTCAGGTCAGGAGAATGTCAAGCAGTCAATAGATATTCCTCATGGTGGAGTTCGTCAATAGTTTACAGTAAATAAATAACATTTACTATAAACTACTATTTATTTACTAGTTTATAGTAAATAAATATCATTTACTATAATTTACTATATATTTACTATAAACTTTTGACGAACTCCACCATGAGGAATATCTAATGACTGCTTGACATTCTCCCGACCTGAAGATGTGCTGCTGCAGCACGAAACAGCTGTAGTCACTACGAACTACATAGGATCGTTTTGGACAGAACAAGGTAATTTAAACCACTATACGTTAATTCAGACGATTCAGAGGCCACACCATCATGTTTTGGTTGGAAATTGGAAAAGTTGATTTCTCAAGATGAAAATGCTTTGGTCAAACTTTTCTTGGATTTATCCCGGAAACAGCTGTTTATCTCTTGCTTGAATGGGATTTGATTACGTTACCAGAGAAATTACACTAGTCCAATAATCTATTGGCAGTGAGTGGTTATAGACGAAAACAATCTCTCAGAGAAGATTTGATTAGCGATTATTAAGTTACTGGGAACATATAACGGATATCGACAAGTTTTTTACTGTCAGGTTAGTTTAGAGTAGAATGGCGAAAATAACACACGCCACTCATCCAAAATGTGTTCACCGTACTCTTACGTTAATCCCGCACTCGACTTTGTTTCGCACGAAATCCATACTCGTCCGATAAACTCCTGTTCTCTGGACTAGTGACGTAACATAATATACAGGGCGCGAATACATGTTGTGTTTTAGGTTTACACACCTGAGGAGAAGTCTCGATTCTAAGTAGGTATCAAAAACTCGTGAATTTCCTAAAATAATCTCGATGAAAATCATCCAGTAGCTTAATTACCCATTTGGATAGCATGTAAACTCAATAATTCAAAAAATGAGGGAAAACAAACATTTTATGAATTATTTCTACGAACAAAAAGAGGTGGTCGTTTTGATGTTTATAATCTGTTGATTTTGTGTCATGATTATATTTTACATATTCTAAGGCTAATCAGTAATACAACCAATTTCTTAAAATATTTAAGTAATTAACTACAATATCTATCATACTAGTGTGTGCTTTTCGTATAAAATAGTAATCGAATTGTAAATGCTATAACAAAATAATGACTTTCCAGCAAATAGACATTACAATGTTGTCGAAACTAATAGTTGCATATTTCATTAATTTAGGTCCTACATTTACTAGCACTAAGCTACGTCAATAGATTGTTTAATGATTCGTATAGTACTTTCTCATTGAACACAACCCAACACTTGATATATTTTCGGTTCACGTGTTATTTTTACCTGAACTCTATTGATTATCAGTATTCTACATGTCAAATGTATTTGTATTTCAAATCGTAATTGCATACCAGTATTTCACATTCAAACTTTATTCCATTAACTGCCGACACTACCCGTGATTTTCAGGGGGGCTGCTGTAAAACAATAACTCATTAATCATGCATTAAAAACGGGAAAACTTAATTATACCAGTTACTTTTAAGTTATTTTTTCATTCATTTAAGCGGGTTGAATTTTCCTAGGATTCCTAGTACAACTTAAAAGTGTTGTTGATGCATAAAAGGCTCTAACACTTTAAAGTGTACTTACTTTTAACACATTCCTACTATTTGAAGATACTATATCCAAAAGAACCTATATCATAGCTTAGTGAAGCTTAGTGAATAGATACTTGATATTTAACGATATAAGATAACGATGTTTTCCCTAATTCTTTAGTCGAAGTAGAACATTTTATAAATTTAACAGTAGTCAACAAACGAAATTTGACAATCCTTTTGTTAATAAAACGTAACCATCTCACTAAATAATTCCCAAGCCTACCAATTTAAAACATAAAACATCCAAACCATGAATACCCAAAAAAAGTCAGCATCTATTTTGTTAAATTCTTGACCATTCCGCAGTAATTGGGCATTAAAAAGGTCGTGGCTAGAGATAAATCTGGGCATCTTCTGTTCTTGATTGGTAACAAAGTGACACCATACGTCTCACTTTATTTTACACTTACTCCACCAAAGTTCAACCTAGAATACCCTATTAAGGTCGTATCAATAAAGGTTTTTAATGTTTAAACTGTTCGATAGTTACCTTGTAGGTTAATTTAATGTTTTATCAGCTCCATTGTGTTAAATGACGGATCTGCAATAATAAGAACAAAAACCTGTGAGATAAATCCTAGAAAATTTATTTTTCCCCAAAAAACGTTTTCGAAAGTCGCTCAACTTATACCCATGCTTCGATCATATTGTTTATTAAAAATACAAATATGTAACCGTTTTCGGTAATAGTGTACTTTGTAAACGTCGTACCGGTAATAATATGGTTTGGTAAAATTAAATAAATGGCGTAAAAGATATATTTTGTTTACTTTTTGATCAGATAAAGTTATTTACAGAAACATGAAGAATATTTTCAACGTGTTTCACAGTCGCACACCTGAGGAAAAACTCTGGCGAATGTTTTGTTCCCAATATGCGTATTCAGCATATTTCTAATATTTTATGCCACTGTCATTTTCCCCCTTGTATTATGTGAATATTTTAGATATTTTATTTTACCAACTGAAATAAACATAAAAACCTGTATGAAATGGCTTAATAAGCACATATAATTACAAATATGTATTGTTGTTTTGAGAATAATATTATGATTATGACAATACAAATAACAATTGTAAGGAAATCTTTTTCATGTACATAATATGTTTTTCATAATATCAACATTGCATTTTACATAAGGTTTTGCTGTTCACGATTGTGTTTTATGTTCAAGATAGAATATGTGTATACAGTATACGTACCTAGCATACATTTATATTTCCACAACTTGAAAGATCTCAGTTATCAAAGAGTCTACCTTTGTAAGTGTTTTACTATAGTTATTTGTTTAACTAGTGGGCGAAGTGGCACTTTGCTGCACACGAGAGAAATGTTTTAATGTTGTGTTGTAATGTGAAACATTTCTCGAGCTCAGGAAAGGCAATTTGCGTTACACATTATATTGTCACTATAAATGATATAAAAAAAAATAGTCTTTGACACACTGTACAACACGTTTTTAGGTTGAGTTAAATCCAAACATTGAACGAAATGGGAAACGCTGCACCAGCTGATTGTGTTGCCAACTTATTTTCAAGCGTACACGAATTACGAGCATAAAAAATCACGCTGTTTTGGGTTGTTTGGTTGGGATTCTGTTGTGCACCAAAGTAAAATCTGTATGCCAAAGTAAAAGCTTTGCGCCAAAGTAAGACTTTCTGTACTATAATTTGTGCAGGGAAGCCCACTTCGTCGGGTGACTGTAGGAAAATGATATTTAGAAAATTATTATATTAAGACAATCAATAACCACAAAGATACTGTGTAAAAATTTTGAAGTAAAACCGTTAGAGATTTAGATTATTTAAGAATAAGTAGTAATTTGTATATCAACTATTATCTGAGTATAAATAATAACAACAACAAAATCTAAATGTAAGTAGCTTTGCGTCAATGATGTATACATATACCAGTTATTACTTTCACAGAACAATTACATTATGATTTCGGTTCATTGGGGCGAAAAACTCATCTAGATATTAAAAAGTAAGCCTAAAGTTATTACTTTACACACTTTTATTATAAACCTCAAATGGTATACCAACCATATGGTCAATATCGATACCTATTTACTAGACTATCGTTTCATGTCAAGTAACATATGACAATGGACAAAAAGTGTCAAGTAGCTATGTTTCCCCCTTTATACATTATTATTTTCTCCCATTCTTATCTGCAGTTTCCTTATCACTATACTGAGATGCTACAACTGGCAGATTCGTATTCATTGATCGTTTTATTGGGTATTGATTGGTGTTTAGAATATCCTTAAAAGTCAAACTGATGTCTTTACCTTAACTTTCGTTTTCTAGACAAAAGTTTTATTCTTCAAAAGCTAATGATTCAAACTGTCTTCCGCATCAATGTTGGTTGTTTGCCCTTGAGCTATGCCCGACGTCGCAGATAACGGAGATATCTTGGCATTTTAATATATCTGTTATTCGGACAAACATTTCGAACAATACAGACTCTAGATTGACTAAAAAATTATGCAGGTAAAATATTTGCTAAGGGGGGGAGTTGTCAGCTATGTGCAGGAAATTGCTAATAAATTCGCTTAATTATACAAATTAGTTGTGACGAATCCATTCATTCTGATTAAAGTATGATTGGGTGTATTTCCAAGGTGAGTTCAACACGTGTTTTATTTTACTAAACTCAACAAATATTTGTAAAATTTTACAAAACAATTAATTACTTTCAATTTACCGTCTTGATTAGGAGCACTTAAAAATTTCGACATAACTCAACAAAAAACTAGGATGAACAATTTAAAATGTGTTAATGTAGATTAAATCCCAGCTGCTTTTAGAAGTTTAAATTCACAAACAAATTTCCAGATTGCAAACCAATGTAATATTTCGTTAGGTATCTCTAGTAGTCAAAACACCTGACCTAAATAGATCACATGTTCCAGTTTCTGCGAACGTTTTTACATTGATGTGGAACCTATTAAAATGCACAATCCTAAATTCTGACTGAAGGAAGTACTATCACAAGCATACACATATTCAGATATATAACAGCTTTGTACTCACAAGTTTCTCCAATGTTTTACAGTACACAATGCTACACGAATCACACACAAGCACTAACTGAGCTAGGGTCATCTACGGGTCTATGGGTCGTGCGATAGCCCGCCAGCCAGTCCGCCAGCCTTGTGGTGGACATTGTAGTGCCACTTCCATACTAACAGCTTCATCTGCTGCTCACATCCGGCAACTGATATCTTCATCTTCTGTCTGGATGTGTTTGGACGTGTTAAACACACAGTAACGACCAATAGTGACCAATGAGTCAATAATGTGCTGCATAACGTTGAGTGGTAAGATGTGGTAGTGGCCATTCTGTACTAGAGGTGTTTCTATACAGTACTAAATATCAAATAAATTTGTAAGTAAAATATAATAGATTCAATAAATATTCACAAATAAATATTCAACTACGAAAGGGGAAATCATGTTTTGAATATCATTTAAAGAGCGTGAACAAGCTAAATCTACTCAGGAGAAATTAAGGTGTACCTAATTAAAAGGTGAAAGAATTTATATGATGTTAACATATTCAGTAAGAATTTTCACATCCAGTTAATGAATATGCCACGATGTATTTGAAACTCGTTAATAGATATTTAGCACTACTTGTATCGTGAAATTTACCTCTTGTTGAAAATATTACACTAATTTATCTAAATGATAAATAACATAATGGATGTTTACATTTATCTGTTGTACGAGTATTTTAATACTAGTCAATTCATAATCTATTAATAGGGTGAGTTTTTTAAAGTGATCCAATAGCTAACTTTTTAATTACAGGACTTAGCACCTCACTTTAAATTTGAAACTTGCTCAGTTTTAAGTTTCACTCAAGAATACGATTTCAGATTTTTTCATTGTGGCCGCCATTTTCCAATATGGCTGCCAACTTTAAAATTTCTTATGGAACACCCTGTATTTTATTTTGTTTTTAGATTTTACTCTAAAAAATAAAACATTTTTGTTCTTGACATATTTCAATATCTCTAATAGTTAAGGAGCTACGAGGACAAATTGTTAAGTATCAACAGTAACAACACTTAAAACTAACATTGTTTTAAAACATGCTTTTAGAATTCATGCAACTTTGTATGAAAACTTTAAGTCCTCGTAGCTCCTTAACCGTTAGAGATATTGAAAAAATCTCAAGAACAAAAATGTTTTATTTTTTAGAGTAAAATCTAAAAACAAAATAATATACAGGGTGTTCCATAAGAAATTTTAAAGTTGGCAGCCATATTGGAAAATGGCGGCCACAATGAAAAAATCTGAAATCGTATTCTTGAGTGAAACTTAAAATTGAGCAAGTTTCAAATTTAAAGTGTGGTGCTAAGTCGTGTAATTAAAAAGTTAGCTATTGGATCACTTTAAAAAACTCACCCTGTATATGTTAATATACCATTTAACAGGTGACTTCCTGTTTAATGACTAGCGACTTATGACTTAGCATCATAGCTATCAGCTAACCTGTGACTGCAAAGAGCTGTGAATAATATAAAACGTAACAGCAAAATAACAGGTTTTCATCACCGGTAGAAAAGGTGTAATAGTTGTTTTTTTGGTCGGAAATGTGTTTTGTGAGTTATGCGAAGCCGAGCGTGAAAAACATATTAAGCGGCGAAACAATCTTTTGCCTCGTTTGATTAACAAGAGTTTCCATCATACTCGAAAACAAGCGTTTAATTAATGAACATTTCATTTCAATCACAACTTATTGGTTTTTGTGGTCAGATAGTTATCACGCAATACTTACAATGTTATCTTTTCTTAACATTAAACTTATCGTTCAGCAACGACAAATGTTTTTCAGCATTGCAACAGATACAGGTTGGTTGTAAATGTACTAGTACAAAAAATAAATTATTTTAGAAACTAAACTACAATATCACATGCATTCTAAGAAACGGAATTTTTATCAAGAATGCATTAGATATATCTTATTGATAAAATAAAATGATTACCTTATTCAACCACAGTTGTTGGTATGACGACAAGTTTCGTTCCTTAGAACTTGATCAGGTAATTTGGGAGGACTGGAACTGCACTCACGGTCAGTCCCTGGTCCTAATCCAACTACGGAACTGCACTCACGGTCACTTTGAGCCTTTCTGGGGGTACCGGAACTGCACTCACGGTCAGTTTTTAATTAGCCTATATCACATTGTGCAACACCATGATTGAATTTATTAAAACTTATTAAATTAGTTGAAATATATTGAAAAGTTTTGATTAAATTAATCTAAACGTCAAAAAATAAACTTACTACTGACATTGTAAAAAATACACATATATATGTGCACAGAAAATTCTAGCATATATTTACGATAACATGATATGCTATATTCTTATTATAACGAAGCTTCTTTTGTAAAGGTTAGGTTATGTTAGGTTAGGTTAGGTTAGGTTAGGTTAGGTTAGGTTAGGTTATTTATTGTTGTATTTATTGGGACAGACACTAAAACGTGTATTAAATAAAGTATTGGATAAAGTAAGACAGAGGACGGAATAAACAGATGACTAAGGGGCTAGCGAAGCGTTCAGCCGTGAAAGACCGATTTTTGACCGTGAGTGCAGTTCCATATGGCTTAGGCGGGCGACCCTTCCAACCCTTGTAAATTCCTTTGACCGTGAGTGCAGTTCGTTGTCAGCCGGTAATTTGGTATCCAACCACATCACCAATGTATTAATGCATTGCTGTATGTCAATAGATTCTTTAAAAGACTGCCACAATCACAATAATGGAAAATAATTACAATATTAATAAAACTGATGACAACTGTATTTCAACCAGCACTGTCTATCACTGCCACTGACTAAATAAAACTGACTGAATCATAATGTTTCTTCTTCTCTCCAGTACCACCTGTATTTCAATGTGTTTTCTTCTTCTTATTTTATACTTCTTTGATTTGTAACTTGTCAATACATCAAATATAATATTTGACTTGAAAGAAGTCTGATAATTTAGAATGTTATATGGGTCGAGTTTTTTTTAGCTTTGTAGATGGTGAATTCTTTAATATCAAGCTTAAAACTTGTTGGTACTGTAATACTTCGACTATTTCTTTGTTCTTATCAAAAGATGTATAGTAGTTGTACCATATTGTTCAGAGTTAAAAGGGCAATGATAAGCTGAGTTGTAATCAAAATTGTTCGCAGAGAAAGTAAAAATGGAATTCATGCTTCCAAATGACATCATTTGAAGCGACAGAAATAGTTAAATGTTAAGATGATCACAAACAAAATGAATTGATGACAATTCCAAACATAATAGATGTGCAAAAATCCAGTTTATTGGTGGTAAGGGTTTTCTAAATGCCGCGAGAGAGTAAGCAAGCTCGTGTGTGTGTTTGTGTGTGTGTTTCAGAGTATCAATGTAGCCAACACTCCAACATCATGTTGCACCACTGATGACCAATGACCACAGCACGCAGAGGTTATCGCTGTTATCAGCTGCGCCTAGATGCTAGGAATTATTAATTTACAGATGAAATTCCACACCATGAGCCATTTACATAGTGTGTGGAATTTTATCAAAACTGCAGTGTTTAACATTACGTCTGAAATAGTGTTTTCTATGAGTTATCAATTACATAATATCAGTTGCATATAAATAAAAGTATTACAATGTTTTTAGGAGAGTTATATAGGGAAAACACTGATTATAAATGTACTTACACTAAGGCAAATATATAATGCAGGGTTTCTATAGAATACCCACAGGTGTGTTAGGCAATAAAGATAATATAATAAAGATATTTGTTTTAACTATTTACTTTACAGTAATGATTTATTTTGTGTATGGTTGAGCTAGGTTGGTTTATTTTTTTTCTTTTAGAGAAGTAAAAAAATATATGGTTAGTATGGGATACTTAATGTTAGTTTAGATCCGTTAATGGATGCAAAAATTATAAAAAGTCCTTAAACAGCATATTTTATATTTTATCTGCAGTTCCAACGGATATTCTATAGAATGACTAGGCACGGTTTATATTGAGCTCTATTTCATACTTTGCCTGGTTCATATTTGGAAGTGTTTAGAATGCATGATTATAAACTTTGCCTGTAATAATATAGTAGGAATATGTATTATACTATTAAATATACATAAGTACTATGTATATAGTGTGCTTGTGATATAAATTAGTTATCAGCTGTTTGATATTGTGGACATTTTTACTTGTTTATCTTTAGATGATTTTTATTGATTCTGGTTGTCATGGAGAAAATAATATTTACTAGTGAATTTTATTGTTCTGAGGTGTAGTAAATGTTAGTTTGTTAAAGCATTAAATATCTTTAATAATTTGTCTTCAATTTGCATTTTGAATTAATTACATATAGTTAACTGTATACAGGGTGTTTCGTAACTCTCTACGAACCTTTTAAGGTATTATTTCAGAGTTCATAAAAACTTTAATATCACATTTCAATCGTCTGTAATTCATAACAATTAGTACTGTAGAAGAGTCACCATTTTGTATTCATCAAACATTGATTTTCGGTGGAAATAAAATTGTAAAAGAATATCTAAATATTCTAATGTTAAACATCAAAATGGTGGGCATTTTAATATCTTGAAGAAGAATAACTTCAAAGCCGTGAATCTTATTGAAAAATTACCACATTGTTATTCGAAATTTACAAATGCAATTACACTTTAATATTTAAAACACAACGAAAATAACCAAGAAGTGAAAATGTTTGAAGTGCGTGACTATTAGTGTTAAGTAATGCTGGCTGTGACAGTCACCGAACCAAGATGCTGTTTACATAAGGGAATACACACTGAGCGTATCACAAAAATGTCATATCTCGGTTATTTTACATTGGATTTTCAATGTTGAACTGTCATTCTGTTTGTTTGAACATTTCCAATAAAACAGTCTTCTTGTGTTTTTGTTTAGATTCATAGGTTGAAAGTTATTCTTGTCCATTTTGAATTTTAAGATTGATATTTTTCCAAAATGTCCGTAACAAAACAAATCTGTGTTTGAATCAAGGTTATTGAGAAAAAGCAACGCTTTAAAATGCGAAATTGTGGCTCTGCGAAACCAATTGAACCAGAACCATTGAATTAACCATTGACAACAGAAGATTTCAATGTGATATAAG